GATGGGGGATAGGGATGGATGACAGGGATGGATGATGGAGATGGATGGATTGGAGATGGATGGAGAGCTGGATGGATTGGAGATGGATGATGGATGGATTGGAGGTGGATGGATCAGAGATGGATGGATTGGAGATGAGGAGGGATGGATATGGGTGATGGGGATGGGGATGGATGGATTGGAGAAGGATGATGGATGGATTGGAGCTGGATGGATTGGAGATGGGTGATGGGGATGGGGATGGATGGATTGGAGAAGGATGATGGATGGATTGGAGCTGGATGGATTGGAGATGGGTGATGGGGATGAAGATGGATGGATTGGAGAAGGATGATGGAGCTGAGGATGGATGGATTGCAGATGGATGATGGATAAAGAGATTCCATAGGCACCAGGAGCAGGTAGAAAGCTCTTGATGCCTCTGGAAGATGATCTTCCCAACACATGGAGCAACTCTTCTGCTGGAATTCATTCACACCTCCTTGTCCCTTCCTTGCAGAGCTCAGGGATGACCAAGCTCTACCCCAAGCCCAAGGAGATGGCAGAGCTCGTGAGCAGCCAAGCCTGGATGGATGAACCCTTGGGCTCCAAGGAGGAGCTGAAGGAGGAGGACACCAGGGCAGGTCCCTTCGGGCTGATGTCAGGCCTGACCGAGGAGCACGACAGCATCGAGGAGGAGGAGGAGGAGGAGGAGGAGGAGGATGGGGAGAAGCCCAAGAGGAGAGGCCCAAAGAAGAAGAAGATGACCAAGGCAAGGTTGGAAAGGTTCAGGGCTCGGAGGGTGAAGGCCAACGCTCGGGAGCGAACGCGCATGCACGGCCTCAACGACGCCCTGGACAACCTGAGGAGGGTCATGCCATGTTATTCCAAGACTCAGAAGCTCTCCAAGATTGAGACCTTGAGGTTGGCCAGGAATTACATCTGGGCCCTGTCCGAGGTGCTGGAGACAGGACAGACCCCTGAAGGGAAGAGCTTCGTGGAGATGCTCTGCAAAGGTTTGTCCCAACCCACCAGTAACTTGGTGGCTGGTTGTCTGCAGCTTGGACCACAGACCTTGTTCCTGGAGAAACATGAGGAGAAATCTCCAGTGTGTGAATCAACCATCAGCACTCACTCCTTCAGCTATCAGTCCCCAGGGTTGCCCAGCCCACCCTACGGGACCATGGAGTCCCATCTGCTGCACCTAAAGCCTCCAACCTTCAAGAGTTTGGTGGATGCTTCTTTTGGCAACCATCCCTCTGACTGCTCCACCCCTCCCTACGAGGGGCCCCTGACACCACCCCTGAGCATCAGTGGCAACTTCTCCCTGAAGCAAGATGGGTCTCCAGACCTGGAGAAGTCCTACACCTTCATGGCTCACTACCCCTCGGTGGGTTTGGCTGGAGCTCGTGGTCACACCTCCCACTTCCAGACCACGGTGCAACGTTACGAGATCCCCCTGGACATGAGCTATGAGTCCTACCAACACCACGTGGCTGGGCCCCAGCTCAATGTCATCTTCAATGAGTAGACCCAAAGTCCTGATGTGGAGGAGAAGTTGGGATGTGGTGGAGATGGTTCCATCGTGGACACACACGGGGTCGTCACGGTGGCTCGAGGATTCCTGAGCATCTCTGCAGGACGTGGTGTGGAGCTTCTTCTGGTCCTCACTGCTGTCACCTCACTGCTGTCCCAGCTGTCCCCAGGAGCCACATGGACCTTCCCATCAGCCAAACTCCAAGTGGTGACTGTTGAGAGCTGAGCCATGTCCTCCTGCTCCCTCAGAGATGCTCATGAAGGTGCTTCACCCTCCAGGACTTGCTGCACTCCAACACTTGGATCATCCATGGCCAAGATGTTATGGTTCCTCCTCCTCCCTCCTCGGGGTGGTGAGATGAGGACACACCTCTGTCCTTCTTCAGGAGGAGACAAGTCCCTCTTGCCCTTTGGGATGACCAGTTCCTCTTCCACATGCTCTGCTGGGGTCATGGTTTTCCCAGTCCAACCACGGCCAGGTGGGAATGAGCTGGACCAGGGCCAGGTGGGAATGAGCTGGACCAGCTACAGAAGATCAGCATGGAATCTTCTCAGTCAATGGAGCTTCCCATCCAATGGAGAACCTTATCCTTGCTGTCACATGGATGGTGGTTCATCATCCAGGGATGGAGGTCCATTATCCAGGGATGCCATGGTCCATTATCCAGGGATGGATGTCCATTATCCAGGAACAGCATGATCCATGACCCAGGGATGGAGGTCCATCATCTGATGATGGATTGGAGCAGGATCCAGGGATGGAGCTCCATTATCCAGAGATGAAGGTCCATTATCCAGGAACATCAGGATCCATCACCCAAGGATAGAGGTCCATCATCCAGGGTTGCCATGGTCCATTATCCAGGGATAGAGGTCCATTATCCAGGGACATCAGGATCCATCACCCAAGGATAGAGGTCCATCATCCAGGGTTGCCATGGTCCATTATCCAGGGATGGAGCTCCATTATCCAGAGATGAAGGTCCATTATCCAGGAACATCAGGATCCATCACCCAGGAATGGAGGTCCCTCATCTAGGACTGCCATGATCCATCACCCAGGATTGGAGCTCCATCATCCATGTCCAACCAGACTCAGAGCTCCTCCATGATGGTCCTTCCACCACTCTCCTCCTCCTTCTCATCCCCTCCTGAGCCTCAGACCTCACCTGTGACCTCCAACCACCACCATGGGATCATCATCACACAGCTCTGGAAACCTCACGATGAGACTATCAAACCTCCCAACCATCCCAAGTGGAAGAGGAACCACCAACCCTTTCTCCTACCCTTGGGCCACATCTTCTCATGGTTCAGAGTGTCCTGGGCATATTTTGCCAAGATTTTTGTGTCTTCCCTCCTGGATTGATTCACTCTCTGCTCTGGGTGAGAGGTTGAACTTCTTCTCTCCCATTTCCCACCAAACATGGACTGTCCTCAGTGAGCTCTTTGTCCTGACCGGTCCCATCTGTCCCATCCTATCCCATGTCATCCCATGCCATCCTATCCTATGCCATGCCACCCTGTGCTGAGCCATCCCATCCCAACCCATCCTGACTTGACCCATATGTCCCATCCTGTCCCATCCTGACCCATCTGTCCCATCCTGTCCCATCCCATCCCATCCCATGCCATCCCATCCCATCCCATCCCATCCTGACCCCAACCATCCTGTCCCATCCCATTCCATCCCATCCCATCCCATCCCATGCTGGTGGAGCTGATCCCTGTGGAGCTCCATTGGGACAGCCTTCTCTTCCCCCATCCATCCCTCCCTCCATCCTCCCAACCATCCAACCATCCATCTCTTCCTCCTCCCTACTTGTCCATCTCTCCACCTGTCTGTCTACCCTCATCTTCCTCCTCTCTCCTTCTCCATCCCATCCCATCCCATCCCATGCCATCCCATCCTGTCCCATCCCATGCCAAGTCATCCTGTCCCAATGGAGCTCCACAGGGATCAGCTCCACCAGCATGGGATGGGATGGGATGGGATGGAATGGGATGGGACAGGATGGTTGGGGTCGGGATGGGATGGGATGGGATGGGATGGGATGGGATGGGGTGGATTTTCTTCTCACGCCCTGGTTTGGCACCCACTGCCCTCCTTTGCAGCTGGCTTTGAAAGCTACAGGTCTACAAAGATGGGATGGGATGGAATAGGATGGGACGGGACAGACAGGACTGGACTGGTCCATACAATATGGTATGGAATGGGACAGGATGGAATGGGATGGGATGGGACATGACTGGACAGACTGGACTGGACAGGATGGGACTGGTCCAGACAACACAGGATGGGATGGACCAGGACTGGATGGGATGGGACTGGTCCAGACAACACAGGATGGAATGGGCCAGGACTGGATGGGATGGGACTGGGTGACCCATTCCCATCAGGTTGTTCCCGGGAGACACTGAGCAGCATTTTCCAGCTCTCCCACAGCCACAGGGATGGGAAGAACTGTGGGAATATGGGACACATCCCAGTGACTGGACCTCTTTGTCTTCCCGACCCACCTCCAAGCCCCAGGTTGGAGTTGACCTTGTGGCCTCCTGTGGCTCCTGCAGTGCTGATGCTCCAGGATTATTTATTGCCCCTTATTTATTTAATTTATTGCCTTTCCTACCCTCAAAACCTCTTTTTTGGTTTATTTTTTTGAAAGGGATCAAGCCAATCCTTTCCATATTTAACCTCCAACCCCAGACTGAAAGGCCATTCCATGGATTTGGGAAGCATCTCCCAATTCCTCTGTGGAGATTTTGAGACAAGCAATAACTTTTTAAGGCTATGCAAAGAGAGATTTTTTTTTTGTGGGGAGATGCCAAGCAAATCCAAGTGACTATTTTTGATGTCCCACTAACCCTGAGAGCCTTTTTTTGGCCAAATTTCCCTGATTTTTGTCGGGAAACAAGTTGGGAATTTGGAGATGATTTAAGCCCTGCCCAACCCCCACGGCCTGAGGCTTCTTCTTCCCTTTTGTACTGGAGATATTTATCCTTTTGTAAAGAAGAGCAGATTTTGGGGGGTTCTAGCTCAAATAAACTCGTGGTTTGTTTCAAGCAGCTTCACCCCAAGATTGGTGTTTGATTTTTTTTGGGGGGGCATGGGGAGTTTCTGGGGGGAAAATAGAGTCCAAACACTCTGTGTTGTGATCCAGGGGGTAGAGCACAGTCCTTGGGGGGATTTGGGGGGGATTGGGGTACCAGGACATGGGGTACAGCTCAGCCCTGGGGGATTTGGGGTGCCAGGACAGGGAGTACAGCCCTGGGAGAGTTTTGGGTACATGGACAGGGGGCACAGCTCAGCCCTGAGGGGAATCGGGGTACCAGAACATGGGGTACAGCCCTGGGAGGAATTGGGGTACCAAGACAGGGCACACAGCACTGGGGGGACTTGGGGTCCGTGGACAGGGAG